GCTGTACTAACATGGTATTGAGTAGAAGCTAATGCTAAAGCGCTGTACTAACATGGTATTTAGGAGAAGGTAATGCTAAAGCACTTCACCAAAAATAGTATTGAGTAGAAGCTAATGCTAAAGTTCAAAAAAGCGACCAACCGGTTCTCCAGTTCACGCGGGTTCTTTGGGTCTCTCAGGTGAACGGTCAGAATGTGGTGAAGGTGGGTCACCGGCAGGTGGTCAACATGATCCGGCAGGGCGGCAACAGCCTCATGGTGAAGGTGGTGATGGTCGCTAGGAACCCGGAGCTGGAGGACACGGCTCGGAAGAAAGGTAGGTCACATTTCCCCTGGAAGAAGTAACTTTCCGTGTTGCTTGACGTACGGCGATGAATGTGACGCCATGTTTATGCCTGTCGAGACGTGGTTGCCATTGGAGACGGGTGTTTGTTTTAAAGAGGTCTAAACGTTAATGTTTGCATTTTGCCGCTTTCCTTCGGCAGCGCCGCAGCAGTCGAAACGACTGACGCCTCCTGCCATCGCCCTGCGCTCAAAGTCGATGACATCAGAGCTGGAAGACATGGGTGAGACGGATCCTCAGTTCAGCTACACACATCGGGACCAGGGCTGTCCAGGGTGCGGCGCGGGGCCCAACGGGGCGATGAACGATAACGTTGTTTTGAGACCATGTTCCAGTAATACAGGCGTGTCCAAAGTGGGTCCTGGAGGTCCTGGAGGTCCTGGAGGCCCGGCATCCTGCATGTTTTAGTTCTCTCCCTGGTTTAGCGCACCTGGATCAAATGACGGCTCGTTAGAGGCCCAAGAGGAACATTGACCTGCTGAACAGGTTGTTACCACCAGGAGAGAACTAAAACGTGCAGGATGCCGGACCTCCAGGACCCACTTTGGACACGCCTGCAGTAATATAACGGTAATGATGGAAGGACAGATTCTCAAAGATGAATAAACTTTAATTTCTAATGAACATTTAACTCCAGAACTGGAAGACATTTTAAATATCAAAAGTAAATAAAACGGCAGAAACAACAAACAAAATTAAACAAAATGTCCTTCAAAAAAATGTCCAGTTGAGACCAAAACACCAGACTGAAACTTTCATCATCCAGTTTTCATTCAAATGGAAATGATTGAGCTCATTTTAATTTATGTGATTAATTGATTATTGATCATTGTGACAGGCGTCCCTCCAACTGGAGTTCAAGAATTTTGTATATGGGCAAAATATTTGTACAAACTATTTGTCTTTTATTATCAAAACTTTCCTAATAAGTAGAACCACATCTATCCAGAGATTTTAACTGAAAAGCTGCTTTTATTTATTTTATTAATTAAATCAATTAATATCTCATTTATTCATTTAATTTATTTCTTAATTTGTCCAACTTGGTCTAAAATAATTTGAAAACTAGACAATTTTCTTTTAATACAGAAAATGTAAATGTTTAAGATTTGGATCTTAAATATCCCTTTTCTACAAAAAACAAAATAAATCGAGCTGCGTGTCGGAGGCGGGGCTAGGTCCACCCAGGCGTTTCAACGGCTGAATGGTTGCCATTGAGATTAGAGGATTTCTCAAACATGCGTGGAAGAACCAAAGCAACACTCCAGGTTTGTTTTTGATGAGGAAAAAACATGAAGGAAAGTTAAAAAAGTCGATTTTACCCCTTAAGAATGATGAGACTTAAAACTGATGTGCAAAGAAACTGAGCTGAGTCAGTAAGGAAGGGAGACTGTACAAGGTTTAGTTTGAATAAAAATACACACCACACTTTTCAAAGTTTTGTTTGTAGAAAATAAATAATTAAAGGCATGTCTTTCCAAGTAAATTACCTTTAAGAGGTAGAAATGTGAGCAGCAGCAGAGCTTCCCAGCAAAGTTCAGGTTGGTGGTTTTTAAGTCTGTTGACTCATTTACACTTTGGATTCAACCCGTGAAGAAGAAAGGCGATAATTAAACAGTGAGGTTAATGGATATAAAGCAGTCAGATGCTGTGTGACGACGTGTTTTATTCCAGTTGTCACAATAAAACCTTTTCTATTTCTTTTTTTACCCAAATGTGCCGCCTGCAGTGGAGAAAGGTGGGATCAGTGTGCTGTTGTGATCATGTGTGTCTCCATCACCATCCCCGTCATCACACCAGCATTCACCATGTCATACGTCCAAGTATGAATTTCACCCTCATCTGATTATTCTGCGATCCTCCCAGTCGTATCTAATCTGTGTTTTTATCTTCTGCAGCCGCCGCCTCGCCCTGGAAGAAGAAAGCAGGTGAAGATCAGATCTGATCGCCAGGCTGAGCTTTAATTAAAACTGGTTCTGATTGATCCGCTGTTTTTGCACTGTCGTTTGCAGAGTATGAACCCTCTCAGGGTCCAGATAAGAAGAGGACCGTTTATCAGATGGCACTAAGTAAGAGCAGGTGTTTCTGAGCTGGAGAGGGTCAAGACCGTCCTCCATCTTCATGATCTTCCTCCTCTCTGTACTGCTGCAGATAAGCTGGATGAAATCTTGGCTGCTGCTCAGCACACCATCACATCTGACAGCCAAGGTCAGAGAGGTCACGGGGGCAAGAGGGACCGGAGCAAGAGCATCGTTCCCAACGTTCCCACCGTTCCCAACGAGGTACCGGCAGGGAATAATCCCAGATGGTATCACTAAATTATATTTATTAGAGTAAATTAGCTTAAAGCTGCAGTGTGTTGACATTGTGACCATGTTGTGTATGATATGAGACAGACATTTTTAATGACTTACCTCATGAACAAACATACTCACATATGATTTTAATTGCATTTCCTATTTAATAGAAAAACCGCAATTGCGCTTTTTTTTTTTTTTTTTTTTACATTAGCAGAAAATAAACAAAGATTAGCAATGGAAACGCAGCCAGTGTCTGAATTTCTGAATGATTTAATCGAATTGCAAATCGTCTGTCCCAGCTAGTTCAAGATGTAGCTCATATATCAGGAAGTGAGTAATAATAATAATAAAAGGAAGTCTTGCTGTGAAGCTTTTTCTCGACTCTGTTTGCCCTTAGTGCTCTGTAGAGAGGCTGACTGACAACAGGCCACCCACATGAAAACACACAGTTTGAGTCAGAAGGTGTCTCTTCATGTACAGACAAGGCCAAATCTACTGGCACCTCTTTAAACATGTAAAAAAAAAACATTAAAATGTTTATTTTTATGGCAAATGTTCCAGTAAAAATAATGTACCTTTAAGTCCAGTACACATATGTTCTTTCAAGGTTGGGAAATTTTATGTTAATAAATTTTAGCTTTTAACCTGAAACACCTGGAGGAAGAAAGACAAGTTGTGTTACATTCCATATCTTTTTAAAACAGGCAAAAAATTTTTTAAATAAAATTATAGAACTGCTGCATTTTTACGTAGATAATAGTACCTACTGCAGACTCCCCCTAGAGGCCTGGATGACTTCGGTTTGCAGTGTGTCATATTTACAGTTTTTAAGGTACTGTTCCTCTTCTATTTCCTGTGGCGGACATAGTTTCAGTTTCATTTGTGTTTTGGAGTTGCGGCTCGGTTACGGTAGAATGTGATATTCTGTACCACCAGACACATTTTAATGCAGTTTTCTGTCTGCTTTTCTTTCTGAAATGTGCTGAAACACACCAAAGCAGCCGTATGAGCAGCAGGCATCCATGAGTCTGATGCAGACTGGGCAAGGATTTGGCTACAACCAGGCCCATTTTCAACCAGGCCATGGACCTCAGCATGCAGTCATGATGCGCCAGAAATCCATCGGTAACCACACGTCATCAACAGATTTCTTTAGGTTTCTTTTTCTGGCTGTAACTTTGTGTTTTTGGGCGTTAGGTGTGACAGAAGAAGAAAGGCAGTACCTCCACCCACCTGCTATGAAGCTAGCTCGCAGTCTTTCAGTGCCAGGACCAGAAGACATCCCACCGCCCCCCAACACGTCTGCTCCAGAGCCACCTTTATCCGCAGGTCCTTATACTGGTAGAGGGCCTGCTATGCCAATCCCTCCTGTATCTCAAGCTCACTACCAGCTCCACTCACAGCCAGCCCATCCTACGCAGGCTGCCTGGGAGAGGGGAGGACCTGGTGGGATGAACCAGCAGGTCATGGTTCCCACCCTGCGCAGGCAGTCTGATGGACTCTGCATAAGAGAGCCAGAGGCGCCTCGGAGAGGCGGCGGCAAGATGGGAGGGCTGAGAAGAGGATACAGCAGTGCCACACCACCAACAAGCGCAAAGCCAAAGCCTCAACAGGTGCAACATCCTGTGCAGCTCACCAGCCGGGAGCAAGGTGGAGGAGCCGGAAGGGGAGTAGCGAGGCGTGGAGGTCGTGGAGCTCTGATAAAGCAGTCAAAGGTGGAAGACGGGCTGAGACAACATAGGGGCAAAGGAGGTGCTACCAAAGAGAAGAGTTCTATCCCCATCCCTACGATCATCGTCAAAGCGCCGTCCACCAGCAGTAGTGGCCGAAGCAGCCAGGGTAGCAGCATAGAAGCTGAGCCGTCTCAGGATGTGGAGGACCAAAGCTCTGGGAACGCAGCTCCAGACAACTCCAGCACAAGCCTACCTTCACCACTGACCCCCACACCGCCTCAGCCGACTACACCCAACTCCTTACCTTCGAGTGTCGCACCCGCCGTCTCTTCTCAGCAAAACCTGGAAAAATTGGACTATACCTCAACATTTGGCACAGCATTTAGTGGAGGAGGAACACGCAGGGACAGGGAGCGATTAAGAGACATGAGAAGAAAGAGCGCTTCCTTCTTCCAGTCGTCAGAGGAAGACATCCAAGGAGAGGCAGGTGGTGGAGAAGGAGGAGGGACATTTGAGGCCCAAGTTCAGCCTCTGCAAGGCTCAAAAATGGAGGTACCCACCCCTCGACTTCGGCCTTCCAAGTCTATAGATGAAGGCATGTTTTCTGGAGACAACTTCATGAACTATTCCAGCAGCATGCCCCCAGCCTTTGGCCTTCCAGAGTACTCCTCACCTGTCCTTGGCCAGGATGGGCAGCCCAAGTCAGCTCCCTCAGTGTATGGCAGCCAGCCTGCTACAACTTTTATCCACCCACTAACAGGGAAAGTGCTTGACCCCTCGTCCCCACTTGGCCTGGCACTGGCTGCAAGAGAACGAGCTTTGAAAGACGACCGCAGGACACGCCGAGATGACAGGCACTTTGGCCGGCAGATGTCCACAGTTGGATCCTTCCCTACACCAATTCAGACCCCAACACCTTCGCTGTTTGCAACCCCGACGCAATCGGCATACACTTCTCCGGTGTCCCTCCACCTTGGATCCCCCTCTGCCACCGCCTCCCCTGCGTCTTTGAGCCGGCCGCAGTCACCAAGGATTTTACGTTTAGGAGGTGGAGGAGGAGGAGGTGGGGAGAGGATGGAAAGAGAAAGAGACGGAGGGCCTAAAGAGGGACTTAGAGTTCGTTTCTCTGAGGACAGAAACAGCCAGTTTTCAGGCCAGTACTACCCACAGAGCAGCAGAGAGAGAGAGAAGGAGATGTATGAAAGCAAACATGCTCAGGCTGTTCAACCTCCTCCCCCGCCAGCTCAACCTGCCCCCCGTAGACCCTCCTACTTGCAGATGGAAAACGTTCCCAACACAAGCTATATTCCACAGTACACTGTCCCCACAGCTCCATCACAGACTAACGACGCAATGGGAGAAGCAAGAGCCGGGGCGGGCGGCCTGGGACTGATGGTTCTCCCTCCTCCAGCTCCCTCAATAGACGTAGATGAGGAGTTTGTTTTTGCAGATCCTTTGCCCCCTCCACTACAATTTGCTAACGGAAAGAATGAGAGAGCAATGGAGTTCTCTCAGCATCATCAACACCAGAGTCAACACCCTGCTTCTGCTGCCCCACCTCCACCGCCCCCTCCTCCATCTCCCAAGCCCTCAAATGCTCCCCAACAGTCTTCACAAGGTGGCGACTCTGCTGCCTCAAGCCTCACCTCCTACGACAGCGAAGTGGCCAACCTCACACAGTCTGCACTTTCTCCATCGTATCCGTCCCCGCAAATATTTGCACCTTCGTCCACCACCGCCACCACCTCAGCGGCTGCTGTGCCTGCCGCATCACTACACAGACCCCAGCCCATGTCACATGCCCATCCTTATTATGGCAGCACCAATGAGCCGTTGGTTGGGGTTCAGACGCCGGCCCAGGACAGAGGCACAGCGGCCCTTACCACCACCATGACCTACGCAACAACGACGATGACAGCAACTGCTGCTGCCACAACCACAACAGCCTCTCCTGCTTCCTCTGACTACAGCATGGCTGGGCCCAAAGTAGGCCTTAGCACAGGGAGTAAAGGAACCGATCCCACTCATTCCAGTACTATGATTCCCAAGAGTGGAGACTGGCAGGACACAGTGGTGGATTCTGGCATTGAGGAACTGGACAGTCATAGCAGTAGTGACCATCATCTAGAAATGCTGGGACTTGGTGGCTTGAGAGGAGAAAAAATCGGACTAGGAGGTGATGGACGAGGAGGAGAGGGAGAGAAAGTCAACGAACATCAGGATCCCTGTACAATCTACCGGGGAGGGCAACCGTTTGAGGTGCACACCTCCAAAATAGCAAACCCTGTCTTTCCAAAGATGACGCATTACAAGGAAATGGAAGGGAGAGGCCCGCCTATAGCGTTACGCAGGCAGAACAGCACCAACCCGGCTCCTTTGCAGTTGCAGAGACAAAGCCACCCTGAAGATGCCGGTTTGGAGAGAACTCTTATTGACGACAGAAAGCACAAGCAGAGTCGGGCCAGAATGGAAGATGGCTTTAGCTCCGCACTGGCAGCCTGTCTGGAGAGGCCCATGGAGCCCCGATCTGTGGTCTGGGGTGACATCGCTGAACATGAGCAAGAAGGAGTCCAGCATGCGGGTATGGTGTTGGAGGGTCGCAGGCTTCACTCGCCTTTTTCCGGTGTGAAAGCCAGCATCATCAACGAGCTGAGTTCCAAACTGCAACAGATGAGCAGCATGAAGAGTATGGATGACTGGAGTCACGTTCCTAAGTCCCCCTCCATGCATAGGTTTGTTTGTTTTGATCAACTTCTCTGTAAAGTTCCTCTAACAAGCATGGCAACTTCCTAGTAGCATTTTAAAGGGAACTGCAACTATTTAAATATGTCTGCCTTAACCTAAAAGTTGTTCGTGATGCATAAAAACTCATAATTATTTCTATTGGTTATATTTTCACCTAGGCTGGTCCCCATTTTTTTTACCTGTGCAATGCATGCTGGGCCTTTGACATGTTAGGAGGACTTGAGACTAAACAAAAAGTAAACATGGTGAAAGGTAACATTACACCTACAAAAAGTCTGGATTGAGACAAACTGCCTCAAAATTCTTATATCTAGTAAAACAAGCTAACGTGATTGGCTTGTGATCTATTGTTTACTATATTAGCTAGAGCTAATGCTATATGTTTGCAAGAGCTAACACCATTAGCAGAAGCCAAGACCATTGTCTAGCCCAGCCTGTTGCCTAGCAACCAAAGTTGCTCTCCAGCATGTTTGGTCAGTGGTTTTATCGCTGTATGCTGTGTACAATGGCTGCTGGAAAAGTGTTTGGTTGTTGACTTACCATCCACAAACCACTTGCTGCATTGCTGTTGGTTGTGCAGCCGACTCTACTTCTGCTTTTGAAAGATGTACGGTTACATAACTGTGCTTCTGTTTGCAGCCACTTTCACATGTAAGTGTAAACGTTGAGTTGGGGGGCGTGGCCAGCAGCTCATTTGAATTTAAAGTGACAGAGGCCCTAAAACAGCTCATTCTGAACTGAGCAGACTAAAATCTCATGTGAACATGTTTTGTGTAGCCCAGGCAGATCCCAACCTGTTCAAGGAAGCACAATGGAATGGACCTTCAATGGAAAGTGAACAAAGTCATTCAGTCCATGTTGGCCAAACTTCCAAATAATAATAAAAAGACTGTTTAGGACATATTATTGCTGGCAAATACTTCATTGAGCTCGACACTTCTCTCATCGCAGTTTGGAATGGTTGTTTAGAGAACACGCCTTCTTCACGATCAAGGTGGCTCATTACACACGTCACGGCCAAACGTTAGCAATCAGGTAGAATCAGATTCAGTCGTTGAAAACTTGAACAGATTCAAAGCCTCCAGAAAGTAAACGTTTCTGAATAGCCAGGAGTCCAGACCCTCTGGATGAAGCAAAGCGAAGAACAAGGAACTGGTTTTCACCAGGCTAGATGAAACACATCCCTCTGCTGTGTTAGTAAAGGCAGCCTGGATCAGACAGCGTTTCAGTTTCACTCGAAGCTAGGTAGTAAGAGCCAGCCTTCTCACCATCAGATTGGATTAGATGTAGTTCTGTGCTGATCTTAATGATGGCACCATTGTAAGGTTTTACATTGTGTCTTTCAGGTATTCAGCAGATTTTACCGATGCTTTCCACAGCCCACCGACCGGTCGCTCCACCTCGCCGCTACCGACCTCCTCCCCGCAGCATCGACAGATCCTGACTCCCAACCTCTCGGCCTCCCCTTCTGTCTCTCCGTCTCCTCAAGTCCCCGTTCAGCGCAACTGGACCCGCTCCCCTTCTCCTCAGATGCCAACCTCCCCGGTACATTCCCATCCTCCCCATTCCCCAACCTACTGCCCATACCCAACATCACCTAAGCACAGATCTAAGTTGCGCAGGCAGACTTTTGATTTTCAGTGTAGTCCCTCTAAAGAGATGCGGTCATCGGTTTCCAGGCGCCGGGCCCCCAGCCCTCTCATCTACAACACCGAACAGCCGAACCCAACACCACCCAGACCGTCCTCTCTCCCCATCCTTCCCTCCACACCTATCTACAGTAACCCCTTTGACTTTCCTGGCCCTCTCACTCCTCCATCTCCTGGTCACTCTCTCGGAGATCCCTACCACGCCTCGACTCCCCCACTGTTCTCTCCATCCGGTGTGCCGAGTCCGAACCCTCTACTAGTCTCACGCTCTCTCTCCCCGACTCATTTCTTCTCGGGAGCCTCCTCCCCTTTGCATCTACCACCCAGCCCTTCTTGTCTCAACTACCCCAACCTCAGCCCCGCTCCCCCTGCCAAACCCTTTGCCATCAAACCTCTACCTTACTGGACCAAGTACGACGTTGCCGACTGGTTGACTTACTTAAATTTGGGTGAACACAGGGAGCGTTTTATAGACAACGAGATAGACGGATCTCATCTTCCGTCACTTACTAAGGATGACTTCTTGGACCTGGGAGTGACCCGAGTGGGGCATCGAATGAACATCGAACGGGCCCTCAAGAAACTCACTGACAGGTGAGGGAGGACGAGAACGGGCTCAGGGAGATGTAGAAGCGACTCAAACGGTCCAAAAGGAAACACTGGATGGTGAAGGAGCGTCAGAGTGTCTCGTTAGCATCATTTAAAGGTGCAGTATGTAACTTTTATAAAGCATTTGTTTTTACGTTTGTTAAAGCTGTCACCATGTCATGACAGTTCAATATGAGACGGATAATCTGTGAAAATATTGATCTCCTCCACATCCTCCCTGAGCTGCTACTGAGGAAATGCACCAAAAACAACCAATCAGAGCCAGGAGGCGGGGCTTATCGCTCTCAGTCATCCTCATGTACTGGCTGCTAACTGTGCTAACGCCGGATAAGCAACTCATCATTACAGGAAAACCGTTTTCCACCGTCATTGGTGGCTATGCTAGCTGGCTTTAGCATTCATGACATGCTATGCTAGCTGCAGTGAAGCATGAGGGAAATCCATTAAGCCCCGCCTCCTGCCTCTGATTGGTTGTTTCTAGGTAACACCGAGAGAAAACGGAGATTGATTTTTTTCGGATTATCTTATAACATCACCACATAGTGACAGTTTCAACAAATATGTAAGAAAATATTTTTCTAAAAGTTACATACTGCAGCTTTAATCCAACCATACTTTACCTTTCAACCTTCTTTATCCTTAAAGTCTGATTAGTTTTCCAGTCATTTCTCCATCTATCTGCATTTTTATCAACCCCATTTAGTTTGTAGTTAAAGTCCACCCATTCTCATTCTTTGATTTGGCCTCCTTTTCTCCCCAGGCGTCTCTCCTCTCCTTTGCATGTCCCCACGTCTCCTCGAGACACAGACTGAGAAAGTGAAGGGATGATTCAGAGCTGACAGAAAAGGGAGAGAAACTTATTGACAAAGCTGATCAATAACAGAAGATGTGCAAGAGAAGATCAGTGGACATCAACAGGCAGAACAGAAAACCTGGGCTTTGCTTTACTGTGGATCAATTTGTGGAGTATAAAAAAAAGTCAGAATGTCTCAAGTTGATGGTGAAAATATGTTTCTAAACTTTTGATGGACAGGCTTTTAATTAACGCACTATTTTTTTGGTGTAAAAGAATAAACACATTTGCAGTGTTTTTTTTTCTTTCAGGCTCGGTGACAGATGGATTCTCACACCATCTGCTGCTCAGAGCTGCAACTCAGAAAACTTAAGTTGGAGTTTAGAGACGAGCAGAAAAATCACCCAAGGAAAATGTTATTTACTGTGACGGAAGCGGAGACACTATTAAAAGCAGAGACGTGAACGGCACATTCTAACGTCTGCTTTATGCTTTTCAGCAGATCCCATGATGAGTTTTATTTGTAAATGATAGAAAAAATAGACAAAAATAGTATTTTATATGAAATAATAAATATATATATATATTACACACACATATATTTGCAGATTTCCCCCAGAGGTTGCTCCCAATAAGCTTTGTATGTTTGTACTTTGCGAGCGCTAAATATATATTACATGTTTAACAGGATTAGTAAAAAGAGCCCATCTGTTTTGTACTCAGTGCTGATAGCAATCATTCATATAAAACTGGTCAGGGTGTTTTTAAATGTTCAAATTACACTGTAAAAAATGAGGAAGAGATTTAAAGGCTCCATCAGGTTTCAGACAGTCTTGGAGCAAACTGAGTTTTGTGTTTTGGGGTAAAACTAAAGTTGTATCCTTCCTCTTTGGTGCCATGAGGTCGGCCATTTTGTTTTTTTCCACGTAGGTGAGGTGATGAAAAAGGGCTTTTTACTGCTTCTCTATTTGCCTGAACTTCTTGACCTTATGCCTCTGTGAGTCTGATAATGTGTTTGTCGGTCTCAGATGCTTCCCCTGACTTATACCTTCTCTTCCCTTTTCCATAAAAGCAAATGCTTCTTCTGCTCATAAAATGTTGAATTAATTAGTTTTTATTTCTGAACTGTCAGTCCCACAGATTCACTTTTCCACAAAGCAACCAAAACTAATTTTCACATATTTTTGCTGTAATAAACGGAAAACTACAGTTTGTGTTACATATTGAACATCTATATGGTGGTCGACAGGCACAAATACGCAGCAAACACATGAATAATGCAAACTCCAAAACGCATACAGCAAAAACCTGCAACTAATAAAACAAAAGAAAAAAAATCTGCAACCACAGGAAATGGAAACAACCGGGTCGGACACAGTAACAAATGTTTCTGGACGATAAATTGTTCCAGAAGTTATTGCAATAAACAGTTTTATTGTTTTGACGATATTCCAGTAATGTGATGGTAATGACTTAATGCTAGAACACATCCTCAAAGATCAATAAACATTAAACTGTAATGATCATTTAACAATTTAAATGCCCAAAACCAAAAAAAACACAAGCGACAAAATCAATCATGAAGTCTTTGTAAACAGAATTGTCCTTCAAATTAAAATTGTTGAGACCAAAACATCAGACTGAAGATTTTTACCATCCAGTTTTTGGTAGAAAAACAAATCATGCAAATAGAAATTATTCAGCTTGCTTTAATTTATCATGCTATTAATTGATTTGTGACAAGCCTAACTGCAAATTACAAAAATAACAGCAAATATGAAACAATTAAAGCTCACTCCACAAAACTGAAGTCCTCCATTCCACTAGGGGGAGTCTGTAGCTGTTAATGGTACCTACATCCTACATAAATATGCTGGTGTTCAACAATATAAAAGATTGTGTGTTTAAGAAGACGCGACAGACGTCTGTCTTTCCTGAGGTTCTGGTCTCGAGTTGGTGATCAACTCCCCCTGGTGGTCTGGAGGACTTCCGTTTGGGGAGCGAAATACCAGTGTTTCATACCTGCTGCTGTTTTTCTACTTCCTGTGGTTGCAGTGTTTTTTCATTTATATCCTTTATTGGTCATAAGTTCTTGCTTCTATTTTCTGTGATTGCAGCATTTTCAAATTCAAAAATACTTAATTGGTCCCAAATTTTATGATTCCAAATCCATGCTCAGAGGTTCCACACTCGTGCCCAGAACAGAACCAGCCTTCATCAGGTTGTTACCCACACAGAACTTCAGTCAGTCACACACATTCATGGCACTGATGTTTCTCCATTTGGCTGGCAAAGAGCAATCCTATCTGTTCCTTCAAAACAACCCCATAGGGCTTCGTCGGCTTCCTGTGAACGCTTACAGGCATCTTCCTAACATGTAGTTTCTGAACAAGGGGTTTGTATTCAGAGCAGAGAAAAACAAGATTGTGATCTTGATATATGAATTAATGTGTTGCATGTATTTTTTTTTCTTTGTTTTGCATTATTCATGTGTTGGCGGCGCTTTTTGCCATTTGCTGCGCATTCGCGCCTGTCGGCCACGGTGATTTTAAGATGCCAGTGCAGCCATTTAACTGTGGGGCAAACATCACTTATAGCTTTGTATGTAATGACGTTAATGTCAGCAAAGATGATAAAAATATAGTATAATGAAGATTATAATATTAGGTATGTAAACATTAAGAATCTCTGTCTTCCAGATAGTGTGGACAAATTCTTTGACGTTTTCTGTTTAATTTCTGGGTTTTCTGTAAATGCTTTCTATACTGCGGTGACTCCAGTGAAGCTTAAAGGCCCAAAGCAGAACATGGACTGAGCCGTAGTGTAGACAGCATTGCGCCTTATGAACACCAGAGTATTTTTAGGCCTAGTGAAATGCATCATGACCACATACAGTATGAGCATAAGTATGCAGAGATAAAAGGTATATGAATATATATTATAATAAATTTTGTTTTGAATAAAATACAGTATATAATATGATAGAGAAACAACTAAGGTGTTGAAATAAAAGCTGAAATAAACCCCGGCTCTGTCGTCATTGCTCCCATAATGAACCGGTTGGAGGTGTTTGGATTGAATGGAGTCATTTGGCAGCAGCAGAGGTGGAGGACAGCGCCGTTCTCAGCTGCAGGCTTGTTTTCCCTTCGGTTTGCTGAGTTAATGGTGTAAATGTTTGGAGCTCGTGGGCAGGAAGACGAGGAAATGGCTTGTTGGAGAGCGTGCAGCCGGCTCAAACTGGCCTGTGAGGCATTAAGTAGATGAATGTCTGTTTGCAACCAACTCACAAATTAAGCTATTTTTCTGTGTGATGGTGAAGCTGAACATGCTTTTTTCTTTCTTTCTTGTCTCTGTGAAGAAACCTTTCCAGGAAACAAATAATCTCTCCCATGACTTTATCCAAGGTACTTAGTTTGGGTGACATGATGTGCTCTGAATCATCACTGAGGTCATTTTTTGTTTGTCTTTAAAAGAAAAAGCTTGATTCAACATGGTGGTTTGTTTTTTTTTTTAAGTATTTGCACTGCTTAAATTCTTCCCATTATGCCACAACTAAAGTCTTTTTATTAGGATTACGTGCGACAGATCAAAGCGGTGCATCTTTGTGAAGTTTGAGGAAAATTAGTGCTAATGCACTTATCACGTTTAGCGTTTTGCTAGCTTTAGAAACGCTTAGCACATTTAGCTTGCCCTATGTTAATTTTCCTGGCTAATTTATGTTGCTATTTTCTGACCTTTGAGTAGAAAAAAGTTTGACATCTGTGATTTTCTTTTAAAAGGTTTTGTTGGCTCTAGTGGCCTTTATTTGAAAGTAGTTTGACAGGAAAGAGGATAATGAGGGAGGAAGACATGCGGCAAATGTCGCCAGGCAGGGAATTGAACCTGTGACCACCGGCATGAGGACTAAGGCCTTGATTCATGGGTTGTGCTTTGTCCCTGCGACACCACAGCACCCCAATATTTGATTTTCAGCATTTAAGAATTCTTCAAGACGTTTACATTCACGCTCTTATTTTGAAATGGTTGTACACCTTTAAGCAGCAGTTCCGGTTCCAGTCAGCACGTCTTTTCCCCGTTCTTTCACTAAACTTTATTGAGAAATGGCAATAATACAGCAGTTACACACACAAGCAACCAGTGGTATTAATGAAACAAATACGTACAAATTCTTAGACGCCGTTTGGATGTCAACTCGGTTTAATTTATCTCCTTAGCATTAGCTTCTGCTAAATGTCATGTTGGTGTAGCACTTTAGCATTAGCGGACCTAAATGCAGCTAACGTTTTAGCTAACCTGAACTGGTTTAGCTGATCCACTGTTGCAGTTTCTCTTTCTGGAGGCCTTTTCCTTCTCGCTGGCTAATCTCATGGTCAGGATCTGACAGGATATCCTCCCCTCTACCCACCTTGTGTTCAAGGCTTTTGTTCTTTCCAGTGTCTCTTCCTGAAGTATTTGTGGACCTGCCTTTGAGTAAGAACTAATCACTTTTCCTTCCAGTGCATGTTTAGTGAGGACTGTCAGATATTTCTCTTCTTGCAGAAACTTTTCCTCTGCTGATGACAAACAGTGACTCCTAAACATTACAAAGCACTCAGACCTAAGGAGAAATGTTCTTCTGGCTGAAAATATTTGATTCTTAATCAATTTGGCTTGGAATTGTTTAATAAACTCAAATTAAATAAGAATTGGATTCTAACGAGCTTTGATCTTATTTGACCTGAAGGTTTAACTACCAACAGTCCAGATATAGAATTCATAATACTTTTAAGTTTAAATTGAATATTTAGGAATAAAGTAAGTAATGAAAATGGCCCTGCTAATGCTAGTCACTTTACTCCAACTCCACTCCATTTGTCAAAAAAGTTCAGATCGTTTGGCAGTGTCTGAATGTGTAATAAAATTAAAAAATGCGACCTCTGGTTCGGTTTGAAATCATATGTGAACGCCAAGTGGACCAGAGACCACTCCAAAAGCAGGAAATGGACTATAGAGCAGGGCATTCTGGGTAAATGCAAGACTAAAGAGAAATCCTCCAACACTGAAATCTGACGCCTCCATCTTGTTTCCATCTGGTGAAGAAGGAAGTTGCTCTCAGTGTCTTCAGAGGTTTTTGTGTGGTTTCCTTCAGTGGTTCTTGGTGCAGCGCCCCCACAGGCCAGGAGGGGAACAGGTTGGTTTGACTCAGAGCAGCTGGAGGTGGAGCAGATGATGGAGTTCTGGTTTCAGTAGAACGGGGTCGACCGGACCATCAGGTGTTAAAAACCTCAACTGCCTAAACGTTTTGACGTTTGCGTCTGAAAGATGACATGTGGATGTAGCGTTAGCAACACACCGCACTCTTTAGGTCACACTGGAGTCGATCTACATGGGAAGCCCTCACACACGTGTGCTAATAAGATCATATGACCATGAGCCTCCCTGTCATGATCATGTCAAAATAAAAGCCTGGCATCTCATTAGCACCATATTGAGAGGGACAGAGGGAGGGACGGGGGGGGGTCGTCTTCCAGCTGTTGTTTCTGATGAAACGGAGCAAGAAGAGCTGGACAACCTGACGGCGAGCCGGAGCAGCAGATCATTCAGGACATGAGGAAAAACCTGACGGGTTGATGTTTGGAGCAGAGCTGCAGCTGACAGACGGCAGCAGGTGAGATGAGTACGACCCAGTATTAGGAAAAGGAAAGGAGGAGTTCATTTCCGCCAAAAAACTAAGTTTGAAATTAAGCTCCAAAATTTGAACATTTTAGAATTTCAAAAGTTGAATATTTTCACTTTTAAAACAAGTTTTTCCTAGAAAATTTCTGAGAAAAAAATGTGCTCTCTCTGTCTGCAATGCGGCGTTGTGTGTAAGTGATTCCCAGCCAAATGAGCGTTTCTTCCCGTTCACCGTCTCTCGCCCGGCTCCGGGTCGGCAGCGGGGGTGTGTGTGACTTTAAGCAGCGAGGGAAAAGTGGGTCAGGGCGAGTGGCGCGGTGGCGAGGAGGGGGAGGCAGACATGGAGCAGCTCTTGAACTACAGAAACAAGTGGTCACTTGAGTAATCACTGGTGATTCAGGGAGACATGTAAGTGATGGTTGCTTCCAGGCATGACTGCTCAGCTGCCACTGCTTTTCCCGACTCGGCTTGTGAGTGATTTTCTCTAGAACTGAGAGGTGATGTTGTTTCAACTCGGAGGAAAACTGAAGAATGATTGTTGATAGAAGCATGATGAGGGCGGAAGGTCTTCGATGAGGCGACCGTCAGTCGTACGGCGCCGCATTAGGGCCACCGTTGATGGAGAAAAGGAGTAAATCTCAGCCACAAACTCAGAAATGTTGAGAATAATCTCAAATTTTCTAGAAAAGAAACTTTCTAGAGTGTTAGAAGTTGAACATTTTCATGTTTATTCTACAACATTTCTGAGTTTAATCTGAAAATTTCTGATTTTTTTTTTCTTGCAAATTTCCAACTTTTGGAGCTCAGGAATTTCCAAGTTTCTCCCCCCCAAAAACCATATCTGAGATTAATCTACAGATTTCAGGTTTTGGCAGACATCTTCTCCCTTATTTTCGTATCTCTGCTGGCTTCCACGTCTCAGCGATGCGTCAACAGACAGAAATAGGCCTGAACGTCTTCTGCATGTTTCGGCCTGCGTCTCTGTTCCCACTCCTCCACTTTCAGGTTTGGGTTGTGCAGACCTGAGCAGCGGTTCTGTTATGTCTTGAGAGGTGGATCGGTGGCGGGCCGGGCCGGGCCGGGCCGGGCCTTGTGTTGGTCAGAGCGGACAGATTTGTGACCTTTCCCTGCCGTTTATTTTGGGAAGGCTCGAGGAAGAAATGCTGGAGCAGCTGTTCTATTCCTGCAGACCGATCCCGACCCGCTGGATTCCAGCGCCGCCGCCCCCCTCCGCCTGGCGGGGGTGAGGGTGGGGGTTTCTGTTGTACAGTAAATATGGCTGCCGGATCAAAGTGGTCATGGAAAATCAGGTTTGGACTGACTCACTGGAGCAACGACTCACCGGCTGGACCTGCACACAGCTGCAGTTTGTATTCTTCACTGCTGTTCAGTTTCTCAGTTTACTTTTATTGTTTGAGTTTTTATGATCTGGCAACAAGAAAACATACATTATGGGGGAAAAGTTGTTTCTGCAGGTTTCAACTCAAATTTAAGACTTTTTTTAACCACTATGAATGAAATTTAACACCTGGTGGTCACTCCACTAAAAACTAATCAATAGGCTAATTATCTATTGATTGATGTGAAACACTGTGATACTGATACAGTATTGTGATCCTTTTTTCAGCCATATTTACAGAAATGTACAAACTTTATGTAGCCAACTGGCGATAAATTAGCACTTTTATCCATAATTAGGCCTGGACAATAAACCAATAACACTATATGTCTCTATAGATGCATGATCAATATCAATAGATAATACATATCATCAAATATACAATAATTTCACTAAACTCCAATCCAGAACTGCACAGGATTCTGGGAGATGTAGGCAGAGGAAAGACTTTAGCTGATCAATCTCTCATTTCTAGCTAAGACCAGCATTTCTTCCTTAGGTTGGTGGACTCAACTAACGCTCTCACTGTCTGGTTGCCTAGCAACAACATGCTGTTTCCCCCAACTTCGGTTGCCTAGCAACAACCTGAGTAACTGGCACAGCAGTTTCCAGTTTACCCACTGAGCCTCAAAACTGCTAAAAATAATAAAAAACAAAATGGAGAGAAAACTGGACAAAGCAGGAACAGTCACTCCACCAGTCTGGAAGTATTTCAGAAATTTAAAACAAAAAAACAAATAAATAATTATGGATATCAACTGATATGAAACGACATGTTGCACAGAAAAAAGCTAGCTAGTTAGCTAGCACCCTGCAGAATAAAGCGGTAGTAAAGTGAGAATTAAAGATGTAAATATTTCAACTCAAATTTAAGACTTTTCAAGGCTTATTGAATAAAAATTAAGACTTGTATGTAATGTCCATTCAGCTGGAGATTAATTTGCACTAAGCTGTAAGACACAAAAAGCTAGCTAGATAGCAATGTTAGCAGTGAGTTACTGGAAGCCTCAAACATTTAGCTGTCTGTGTGCGACTCAAACGTTTGCCTGACAGAAAAGTATTGCGAGAAAAAAATTAAGACAAAATTTAAGATCTGTGATCAACGTATTTAATGTCAACTTCCTTTTTAAAAAAGTAATTTAAGACTTTTGAAGCTGTTCACTTGAGAGGAATTGCAGCCAGAGAATCCAGTTTGTGTTTTTCTGCTGAATAAACCAGATTACTGGGTCTGTTTGTGTTTTAAGGTGAACTGTGTCCATGCTGCCATCTGTACAGCGCCACCTGTTGGCAGTCAGGTGTCCAGTCTGTGTATGTTTAGCTGTTCTTTACTGTGGCCATAAAAGCTGCTCTCATATCCCCTGTTTTAGCAGTGGGAAGGAAAACCAAGCAGCTTTGATATGAAACGCTGTATTTTTATGTCCTGCCTCTCTCTCGGCTCTTTGTGTTCCTCTCCTGAGGAATCCTGATTGTTTAAACACGTTAGCTGTGAAAATCTGTGCTGTTATTTCAGCTGTTTGACTGAAACGGTCAGAGAAGAAGAGACTGAATGCATTCAACTGCAACTTCACCTGCAGTCACAACAAAAACAAGAACAAATATTAAATATGAGGAACTCTAAGTTCATATTGTTGCACTTAAAGTGACGAGGAGAAAATTAAAGTAAATTTTAAAGTGATGGAAGAGCAAATTTGATCCCATCTGGACCCGGATGCCTGCAGACACAACGGTCACCAGACTCTCACCTTTCAGGATGAAAGTTTCTGCTCTTCTTTTCTAAAAGAGACTAAAGTTCCTCATTTCACATATTTTATTTTCTCCTCAACTTTCTGTCTCTAAAAAACACTCAAATCAAATCAGTTAAATAGTCGATAGTAATTTGTTTTTTTAGGAAAGAGTTGATATTCATCGTAGATACAAAACATGAAAACGATTTTGCATGTTTGCTTTTTAAAAGAAAAACATTTTGTTTTCAAATCCCTTTGGGTTCAACCAAATTTATTTTCACCTATAAGAACAGGATTTCTTTCCAAACACTTACTGTATTTAACTCAGTTTGATCAATTTAATGAAAGCTGATTTAGCTGCAGTAAAGTCAGATTTTCAGTACAAGAATCTGGATAAACATGTTCTACTGATTATAAACACTTGGTTATAAAAAAGTAACATTTATTATTGTAAGAAAATTATGTTGGCAATAATTTTACCCTGATTAAAAATAAAAAGTTTTGTTAACATTTTATTTTAAGGTGTGAGCATAAGACTGACTTAACAACATGGACAATATATAAATGTTTGATGTCATGAAGTGTCATCCTGGAGATAATGACACTTTTAATGTAACTTTGCATTAAAAGTTTCATTATTTAGCAAATGAAACTCCATCAAAGTAATTATAAACATTTATAAAGTCTCCTTCATGTTATGTCAGTCTGATACTCAGCTCTTCAAATAAACGTTACCAAAAATGCATCTGCAGCTCTGACAGACGGGACAAATTTGGATCATTCTTGAATTGCAGTTAGGGGCCACAGTCGGCCCCCGGGCCTCGTGTTGGACAGCCCTGACATAAACAGAGCTTTACTTTGTTCCTAGAAATGGCGAGCCAACCAAAGGAACCGCTGGAGGATCCCAAGAGGCAGAGCTTCTGGATGGTGACGATTATTCAGTGATACTATTGATCAGTTTCTGATCGATTCTCGACTCGTAAAGCGAATCTCTGCTTCCGTTTCCACCCAGCCGGGGAACTACGCGCGCACGGTGCAGAGAACGGACCAGTCCTTCCAGGCCTGTAACGACATCACGGCCTGCTTCCTGGAGCGAGCCAAGGTGGAGAAGCAGTACGCGCAGCAGCTGAGCCAGTGGAGCAGCAGGTGGAAGGCCATCATGGATTCCCGTGAGACAAACGCCTCATCGCTGCTTCCCCAAGCGCAGCAGCACTGCTGCAGCAAACGTCTTCATTTGTGCCACTGTCATTTTAGAGATAGTAGTCAAAAAGTTTCCAGAGGTCATCATTACTATCTTCAAAACAAAAGCAGCACAAACAAAAAATTGCAGCACAAAAGTAGCTGAGTAGATTAGGTTGACCTCTGATGACCTCTAGAAACATTTCTTAAAATGACTGCGGCACAAACAAATTGTTAATTCAGCGGGAGCAGACATGTCTGAAGATGTCGGAGAATTTTGCTATTAGGTGAATTATTGATAAACCGAGCAGATAGTTGAGATTTACACAGCTGCATTTTTACATTAGCTTCCACTAAATATTATTGTTGCTCTTTAGCATTAGCTTCCATTACATACCTTGTTTTTGTAGCTCTTTAGGTTTAGCAGAATAAAGTTTATGTTTGGTACTTCCGGTTAGCGCAGCTAGCTTTTTGTGTTACCGACCTCCGAGACGTGGATATGAAGTAGCTTCAGTTGGTTTCGCTGTTAAATGTGGCAGAAACTAAAGGAAATTCAGTTTTTCTCCCCAGAGAAAATCGGATCCATAAACGGACTCTCCTCTGACCGTGTCTCTCCTCCAGGAGGGGCTGATCACTCTTTGCTATGTTTGCTGCTAGGGCCTGTGTACGGCTCCCTGATGAGGGCCTGGCAGTGCTTCTTCGCCTCCACCGAGCGCCTGGCGGCCCTCCACTCCTCCATCTCACAGTCGCTGGTCGCAGAGGAAGGAGAGCGGGTGAAGACCTGGCAGAAGGAGACGTTCCCCAAAAAGCTCTTCTGTGGCTTCAAGGAGAGCTACGACAACAAAACCAGTTTCTCCCGAGCGCAGAAGCCCTGGTCCAAGAAGCTCACCAAGGTCCAGGGCTTGAAATTGATCAGTTCCTTAACATTTTCTCAAACCTTTCCATTTAGCAAACCCACAGGCAACGCTGGAGAAACAAACTGTTACCAAGTGTTGTTGGTCTACTGGAGTACACATGAAAAAGACTAAGTTATAAGTAACTTGTCAACAATATTTCAAACTAAAATCATCTCAATGTTGCCAAAATGGAAAAACTGACACCTTGAACACATCACACTGCAAAAACACAACATATCACCAAGTAATTTTAGTCTCGATTCTAGTGCAAATATTTTAGTACAGTTGAAATAAGACAAAACAAACTGACAAGTTTCTGACTTTTAACAAATAGAAATTATTTTAGCCATTCTGACTGACCCTGATTTAACTTCAGATAGAGAGAAAATATGTATTTTATTTGTTGTATTTTAAGCTTGATCTTTTATTGTAGTTTTAAAAAATGAAACCCGTTTGAGCCTGAAGGTAAAGTAGAATAATCTGGGAGAATCTTGATTTGTAGCCTGAAAATAAACTCTTTCATCAAACAGTTATCACGTTTTACAGCTTCCTCTTGTCAGAACTGATCTAACGGCTCCATCAATAATGTTCAGCTTTTCCCATCAGAGGCCTGAATGCGGCTCTGTTTGTTTGCGCTGCACAGCTGGAGAAGGTCCGGCTGGCGTACCACAAGGCGTGCCAGAAGGAGCAGGCGGCACTGGAGAAGGAGAAGCAGGCGAACGACAACCCGGCGCTGAGCGAGGAGAAGAAGCTGAAGATGGCCGAGGCCAAGGAGAGAGCCGCTGAGGAGCGAGAGAGAGTGAGACATCAACACAACCGGTTTACTTTCAGCGTCCCTGATTGAAAACATGAAGCGTTGCAGCTGCAAGCGGTCGCATTTAATCTCCTGGGAAAGCCTGAGCTTGAAGTTTCGGCCTGCAGCGTTTCCCTTCCATGGAGGTTTGTTATCGTTACTGAGCTCAGTGTTTATGGAGACCGGCAGGGGAACGCTGCGAGATTAAATCCATCACTGCAACGTCTCCTGCTGATCACAAAGGCCTGTTTTCTTCCTGAGGAGGTCAGAGAGCCACATGAAAAACTCTGCAGGAAGTGACATCACAGGCCATTATAGACGGAAAAAAGGATAAACTAACACCAGAAAACACACATTTTTAGATTTATATCAGAAACTTTCTAGAAAAATATTGGAATAAAATGAAAAGTTGAAAATTTGCGACTTTTTGAACTAAAAAATGTCCAATATATATTTTTTCTTAATGTCAAGTTTTACCTCAAAATTTAACATTTCCTTTGAAATGCTTACATTTCCAAATATTATCTACACTTTTTTAAGGTTTTATTGGCTCTGGTGGCGTTTAGTTGATGGTGAACTGACAAGAAAGTGGGTAATGAGAGAAGACATGGGTCAAAGGTCGCCAGGCTGGGAATCGAACCTGCGACATACTACAGCCTTTCTGTGTTGTGCTTAACCCCTGCACCACCGCAGCATCCCTCTAGAATTATTTTTAAATTGATCTCAAAATTTTAGTATTTTCTATCAATTTTTAATTTTCAAATTCAGAAATTTAAGAATTTTTATTGAAAATTTCTGAAATTAATCTCAAAATTTCAGTCTTCAAAAAAAAAAATCTGAGTTTAAGTTCAAATTTACTTTGTTTTTTCCTAGGTATCTGACCCTGATGCACCGTTCTAGTTTAGCGAATGCTTGTTTTCCCCTAAATTAATTTTCCTGGATTAATTGGTTATAAAGCACTAACTTGGTTTCTATGGAGGTTTGTTATCGTTACTGAGTTCAATGTTGCATAGATGATTAAATCCGTCGTTAGAAGATCTTTGGTTGGTTATAAGGGGTTTTTTTTCTCTGAAAAGGCCAGAGAGCGATATGAAAAAGCTCTGGAGGAAGTGACATCATACACGCCTCGCTACATGGAGGAGATGGAGGCCATTTTTGAGCAGTCGCAGGAGGAGGAGAGGAAGAGGATCAGCTTCCTGAAGCAGGTCTTCCTCTCCATCCACAGACACCTGGACATCACCAACAATGAGAGGTGAGACGTTTTCCTGCGGGAACGCCTCGTCTCCAGCACGATGAGTCTCCAGCTTGTCTTCTTCTTCTTCTTCAGCGTGAAGGCGGTTTACAGCGAGCTGCATCAGACTCTGATGTCCATCGACGAGCAGGACGACCTCAAATGGTGGAGGAGCAACCAGGGACCCGGCATGCCGACCGACTGGCCCAAGATCCAGGTACCGGCCGATGGAAGGAGAGGAGTCCGGTCCACTTTAACCCGACTCTGGTCCGTTAGCCTATAAAGTCGGTCTGGTTGGTGAGGTGTGAACGCTAACTGACCTCTGGTCCTCCAAACCTCAGTATCGCTTCTGAGGAAGTGAACTTTGGTTCGGTTTGAATGTGAACGCCAAGCGGACCAGAGACCGCTCCACAAACAGGAAGTGGACTACAGTGCAGGGCATTCTGGGTAAATATAACCAAAGCTAACATGCTAGCCTAGCGCTAGCAGCAGAAATGGCTCCTGGTCTTTAGCCTAAAGAGAAATCCTCCACCGCTAAAATCCTCCATCTTGTTTCCATCTGGTGAAGAAGGAAGTTGCTCTCAGTGTCTTCAGAGGTTTTTGTGTGGTTTCCTTCAGTGGTTCTTGGTGCAGCGCCCCCACAGGCCAGGAGGGGAACAGGTTGGTTTGACTCAGAGCCACAGCAGCTGGAGGTGGAGGGAGATGTTCTGGTTCCAGTAGAACCGGGTCAACCGGACCATCAGGGGGGAAAAGAACATTAACAACAAAAACCTGATAACTTTTATTGATTTACTTTTGGATTTTTTTTGGTGGAATTGTGATTTTAGCTAAAAACTGGAATCAAGACATGTTTAGGATTCCAGAGTTAGAGGTCAAAGGTGAACTTTGGAAATGTTTATTTCAGTTTTAGAGACTTGTGAAGGAGAGCCAATAACTACGGAAGACGTATTTTCATATTTGTGAATGAATTATCTTGCTGAATATTTTTGCATTCGGTCATTTTTCCCTTCGTCCAGGAATGGGTCCCGCCTGTGAAAAAGCTGAAGAGGAAACGGAGGAACCAGAAAGGCAAAGAAAGTCGACCGTAAGTCACTAAAAATGACTTTTCACACGTTTCCCTCAGCATGGGGTTATTTCTTGATGTCTGTATTTCCATCTGCAGCGTGATGATTGGCGGCGTGAAGGTCAGAGCGCTGTATGACTACGTGGGAGAGGAGGCCGACGAGCTGTCCTTCAGAGCAGGTGAGAAACGACCACAGGAAGTGATGTCACTCCTGAGTTGAAGTCGACCTTTTAAGCTGAATTAGTGGACAGTGCAGACCAGCTTGTTTTATGGAAGCATTTTCTGTTTTACTGAAGCTATATTTACACACTGGGGGTCCAGAATGTGGATCCAGTGTCATGAAATGTGTGGTTGGTGGTGGTGAGGAGATGACGCAGAGAACCCAGGTTATGGTGAAGATGAATTTAATGATGAAGATAACTCATAGAGTCCAAGTCAGGCAGCACGGCAGGAACAACTAGCACGCAGCTAACAACCGGTAGCAACTGACAGCATCAAACAAGAGCGTCGAAAACCAGGACTTAAACAGTTCTACTGGAAAACAGACTAAACAGGAACCAGCACAAACCAGGACTTGCCAGTTCCACTGGAGAGTGCCGACTACATTAGACATAGACAACGACAATACACACGACGAGGATCCGACACAGACAAAGACAACAGGTGGGGTTAAATACACAGGGAAGGTAATCAGGGAACGGGATACAGCTGGGAGCAATCAACAGGGAAGACACAGAGACAGCCTCACAGGTCTACACAGAAACTCAAAAATAAACACACAGAAACACGGAACATGACATCCAGGGCCATCTGCAGCCTCTGGACTGATTTCAACAATTTTTTTTTTCTAACGATTAATTAGAATAAAATGTATTAATTAGATTTAGAAAAATGCAAATTTTTCATTTAACCATGCAAGTGATTTTTATACAGTATTAAGAATACATAAAAAATTACCTGAAAGTTAATAACAGCATTCATTTAGTGAACGTTTGACTGTAGCAAATAAAAATCCTTCAAACATGAAAATGTCAGGCGTTTCTGCTGTACATCAATACATCATTAACAATCTGTTGATTATTTATTGATTAACTGATTAATAATCAGTAATAGGCGCTTAAGATGAGATTTTTTAAAACGAATTTGAACTGGATGAAGCTAAAACTGCCAGTTGAGTCAAATATGAAGGATTTTTAAAATCTAAAATGCAAAATGTTTATATTTTTTAACATTTTTTGCCTAATTACTGCACTGACTAAAAAGTCTTTATAGTCCAGATAATGATTAATCTATTACTAAATTAGTTGAATCGATTAATCACAATTAACCTGATTATCCACAGAATCAGCAGGTGTCTGACTTATAAAATGTATTTTATATACATTTCATTCATTCATAATAAATATGAATAGTTCATGTAACAACTAACAGAAATCATGAATGAAAGGAGAAAAGGAAGCAGAAATTTATAATCAGACAATTTCAAATCAGCAAAAACAAAACATCAGCTTATTTGATGCTGTATTGCTTCAAATATGAATATAATGAAGTGATACTCAAAGTTATTTTAAATGCAGAAAGAAATTCGGATTGTTTTATCTCACTGTTTATTCCATGAACTCAAACGCATCGTCGCCGTTCTGAATCCAATGTTTAAAAAATCTCACTTCCCTTTCAGTTATATTTGTTTTCTCTTTTTGGAGATGCTTTGAAACATTTCTGTTGCTGTTCTGCAGGTGAGACGTTCCTGAAGGTGGAGGAGGAGGACGACCAGGGCTGGTGTCGGGGGGTGCTGAGCGGCGGGAAGGAGGGGTTCTACCCCGCTAACTACGTCGAAGTCGCTGAGTGATGATGACCCTGTTTTTACCCACAAAATGTTTGTTTTTCATTCTTTTGAAAGCAACAGATCATTAATATTTCTGCTGGAAGATGTTCATGTCCAGTGCTGAACCACAACCAGCTGATCCTGACTTTTAAAACCTTCAAATTCTAACTTATTATGACGGTTAAAGGGGCAGCAATATATTTTTTATTTTCCATCATGTTTTAATGTTTTTCCCTCATCAAAAACAAACCTGGAGTGTTTCTTTGGTGTTTGAGAAATCATTTAATCTCCATGGCAACCATTCAGCTAATAAAATGCCTGGGTGGACCTAGCCCCGCCTTCGAGGCACAGCTCCTCCCCCACTCAGCTCCTTCAGACTAGCCAGAAGCAATTAGCACACTTGATGGAAATGCGACGCTGGTAAAAACGTTACAGGGTTAATAGAGGAGCCATGTCGGGATGACTTTCTGGAGGCGGAGCTTCAGAAAGAGCAGGCGTTTTTAAAGAGACAGGCCCAATTTCAAGGCGTTAAATCAGGAAGTCAAATTTCTTTTAAGTCACATTTTCTATATGTAACATTTTTTAACAACTGAAAGTAACAAATTATTAATTGTGCTCTAAGGTGGCCTCTGTGTGCCTGGGAAACACATAGTACTGCCCCTTTAATTTAAATTTGAAGTGATGTTTGGACGGGATGTGTTTCCGTATGAATCTGTTCATGCATGTTGATGTGTTTGTAAAGAAAAATATTTATTTTCTTCCACCATAAATGAATTGTTATATCTCACTGCTGACTGTTTACAACATTCTGCATGCAGTGTGAATGTTTACCTTCTGGGAACACAAATGACATATTTAATGAATTACATTTCACAATAAAAGCATCATTTTGCTTGTTGGTACGTGGCTTTTAATGAGAATCTGTAAAATAAGTTAAAAACATTGAGCATCATTTTTCTTTCACTGTTTCATGTTGGGATTAACAGATTCAAAGGTTTTTTCCGTCTACAGATTTTTATTTTTTTTAACCATTTTTCAACATTTTTTATCATAAACACAAATTTATTTGCCAATCATAAAATTTAAGTATGAATATTATTTGCTGTGCATCATCTTTCTGCCTGACTGCCAGTCAAATTAATCAGCTGCTTTTTTCTTCAGGTGTAACGAGAAAGAAATGGAAAAGTTTCCACTAAAAGTTTGTTTAGTTGAGAAGACATCAACTAAACGAACCGAGCAGCAGGTCGGAAACTGCTGCAGAAAACGCAAAGAAACGCAAACATCCACTAAAATCAGAAGATATGAGGCAGCAATTATGATGAATGGATGTAATTAACAGTGAATAAAAGTAAAACAAAAACAGCATTTTATTATATTTCCATTGTAGATAAAATAGCAGGAGTCCATGTTTTGCTATAAACAGAAATTACTTTGAAATGTCAAAAAATTTGCAAGAAAAAACTTGCAAATTTTCACGTCTCAGAATTTTTCTAGGAAAAAACATGGAAAGTTTCAAAAGTAAATTTTTTCTCGGAAATTTTAAACTTTTGAATCTCCGTTTATCCACTGAATCTCCTGGTTTCTTTGACTCATTTGTTTTGTGTCGAGTCCTGGAGGTTTAACTCTGTAAGGACATAAATCAGATGCAGAAATGAGCCGACGCCTGCGTTCGTTGGTAGTTGAAGGAGCGGATTTTGTTCCCATCCAGTGTTTCAGTTTGAGATAAAGATCTGAATCGTTTAGAGAAACCTGTTGGACAAGATGTCTGAGCAGCAAACGGATTTCCTGCTGCTGGTTCCCTGTTCAGACCGACCCAAAGCCTCTGGTTCTGTGAGTATTTGTCTTTCACACCTTCCAGGTTCTGAATGGAGCGGTTCTGGTCGCGGTCCGGGAGCGTTTCGGCTCCGAATCGGGATCGTTCTGACTTGTTCTGTGTGTTTCTGTGTGAAAGCCCATGGAGTTCGCCTGCGGGTTTGTTTACGTGCCGCCGTCCCTGAGCCGGAGGGAAGTCCAACGATCCGGCGGCAACGCAGCCAAACGCTCAGGTAGCTCACCTCTGCTCCCATCACTCACAGCTACACAACCCGTGACCTTTAACCTCACCTGAACGTGTAGAGAACAAAACCTGGAGGGGTTTTACTGGAGGGAAACTAAACTTTGTGTTTCTGGATTTTCCTTGAGCTTCTTGAAACTGGTTGGTAACAAAGTGATGAGTAAAACAGCTACAGTCAGATGCCTGCTGAGTCACACTTAACCAGGTCAAAGGTCATCCAAACACTGAGCACAAAGCATCTAGTATTTATAAGCGTTTAGTAGGGCCTTTTTATATGGAAAAAATTAGTAAGTTTATGTCAAAAACTCTGACATTTTGAGATTAATCTCAAAAAGTTTCTAGAAAAAAACTACAAAATTATCTGAGCTGAAAAAAGTTGTACATTAGTGGGGAAAAATAATCAGAAATCTTTAGATGAATCTTGAGATTATCTGACCTCAAAACATCAGTAAATATCCAAGAAAGTAATAAGAGATTTTCAGATTTATCTCAGAAAATTTCTAGAACATACGTGGAAATTCCTGAGCTTAAAGTTTTAAAAATTGTAACTTTTAAAACTGGATATTTCCAAAAGTCAAAATTTTTTGACTTTACAAGCTCAGAAAATTTCCACGTTTTTTCTATAAAATATTTGATTTCTGAGATTCTTTGACAGAAATTCATTCCTATTTTTTTCTATCTACAACGGGCCTAATGCATTGTTGTGAGCATTTTATTTATAAGGATTTGTTTCCCCGTTTCTTTGTTATGTGTGGGGTTGTGTGAAGTAGTGGTAGGTAGTCAGTATGTTACAGAGTGGCGGTGGGTTTGATCATCTGGTTGATTTTAGTGCAAATATCTGCGTGTTCATAGTCCAGTAGGATGTAAATAAGTGGATTTAACTTGTTTTTCTATTTTAAGCCCTTGATTTAATTAAGTTGACGGCCTTTTCTAACATGGAAAATGTTGCCATAAGTGAAATAGTCTCCCAGTGGAGCAAGTACTTTTTAAAAATCAATACTAAGAAATTACTGACATAAAACCAACTCTTGCTTGTTGCTGAAAAGTTACTTGTAAATTGGTTTTGTCTTATTTCAAGTGCACTAAAATATTTGCACTAGAAATTACCAAAAATTCTTGGTAAGATTTTGTGTTTTTGCAGATGTTGCCTGTGCGTCAGATTTACAGTTGTACTGGAGAAGAGCAGATATAACGGTTCTGGCTCGTCTTTTTTAGGTTTTGGAGGTTTTGGAAAATGGAAGTTTGTTCTCCTTTTAGTTTTTGCTGTAAAAAACAATGGGAGTGATCATATTGTAAATGTTTCTTTTTCCAGCCCTTCTTCCTCCGGTTAAAGCCCTTCGTCCTCGTACTCCTCCTCCTCCGCCCCCCACCAATCCGCTGTCTGCTAAAGCTTCGTCTCAGAAAACCTCTGGACAGCGGGAGAGAAACCAGGAAGTCGGATCCTCCAAACCCGTTTCTCTCTTCTTCAACCATCCAGAACTTCAGCGAAGACCAGAGGTGGATTCTCCTCCCGGAGGATCGGCTTCTCCAGCGATGCCTTCCAGAAAGATCGGTACAGACGTTATCGATCTATTGACGAAGCTAAACGTTTTCAAAGCTAGAAACTCTGAAGAACTAAGCATAACATTTGCAGATTTGTGAATTAGTGAAAGTGTTTCTACCACTGCTGATCTGAGCAGAACTGTGTTTAATGTAAACTCATCAATCTTTTAACATGGATTAAATCTATATTTTTGTTCTGAATTATTCCTGTAAAGCTCCTCCTGTGTTTTTCGCACAGCCCTTCTGCCGCCATTCATCAAGCCTACAGCGAATCCTGATCCCAAACAACCTGATCCGCCTCAAACCTCCAACAATCAGTCGCTTTGGTACGTCGACACAAAACATGAATCAGGTTCAAACGTGGAAACGACGGAGGACCTTTACTCCTACACATTACCAGAAGGCCAAGGCGGAGAGGCGAAGCTTCCTCCTGATAGAGGAGTCGTGCTTGGATCCGGTAAGAAATGTTTTAAAATCTGCATTTTTGCACTTTTAATGTAAAAACACTGCAAACTGATCCTTATGGGTTCCAAACATTAGCTCCACCGCTACCTCCAAGACCTTCATTTATGCCTCTAAGCCCAGAGTACATGATGGTTTTATCCTCACCTGCCGCAGCTCCTGCGGCGCCTCAGACGCCGCCGCCTCCTTCATCCAAACCTCCGCTGCCTGCAAGTAAAGGTATTATAACGTCCAGCCTGGACGGTCCAGGTGTTAAAGGACAAGAGGTGCAGATTTCCATGAGTGTTTTTTACTGATGGGAATTTCGACTCTTTCAGACAGCCGGTGTTTTGTCAGATCAGAATACGCAATCAAAATAGCACACATGCAGTGAATGCGCATGCGTGCGCATGCATATTAAGAGTTCCGCGATATTTAGAGGAGCTGTCAGTTTAGCATACGCGACAAGGTATGACAAAAATAAGTCAATACACCGTTTTCAATTATATCTA